GCATAAATAAAAATTGAAAGAGCGGAAAATAAAGGCAAAAAGAGAGCCGAAAGGGGAACCGAACAGCACTGGGAACAGAACTAAGTGTAAGGCAAAATAAAAGACAAGTGCCGAGCAAATACTGCAAAAGTTCTTCCTTTGAGGGCAGAATGCAGCTCTGCAAAGCAAACACAACTGAATGAGAGACAGAGACAGAGACGGCGAAAGAGACAACTAGAGAAAGAGACGGATAGCGATGGGGAAAAAAGAGACGGGTATAGATTATGCGCCTTGTAAACGTTATTATTTTCTTGGTCTTATTTTCGTTTTTTTTTATCTTTCTTCTTCAGTTGCGGCAAAAGTTTTGCTTATTGAATATGCAGAGGCCAAATGAAATTATGGAATTTATTTGGACAACTATTTTTTCTCTTCTCGGATCAACTTTGGCCACAATGTTTTGGCCCAGCGTGCCCAAGTTGGTCCCCTATCAGGGAGCAGTGGCCGGTACCGATACCGAGGCGCACCGCACTCATTAAATATACAATAAAGGGGAATGTCAACGTGGAAATTAATTAACTCAACTGCGTAGAGTCGACTCTCCGACTCCGACTACGAAGAAAAGCCAGAAATAGGCTCATATTTCAATCAAAACTGCGACAGCTGCAAGCCGGCGGCATAAGCTCGAACATCATTTTGGCAACGCTCCATCAACGGTCTGAGTCCCCCTCGTTGTGGCACGGCTCATCAATATTTACAGGCGGCCAGCTTCGAATTTGTCACCGTGGCGGGGCCAAAAGGAGGCGTTGTGAGGGAACGCGGGGACACGCGGCGCGACCGAGCCGGAAAGTTAATTGCTAAATGACAAAATTAATGCAGAAGCAGTCGGAAAAAAGCCACAAGAACAGCAGCTCGACCACAGTCCACAGTCCACACGCCATAGGCCACACTCACTCGCAAACAGGAACAATTGACAGTTCAGGGCTAACGGAGGCAGCTTAACCTCAAGATTAATGTTCGGCAATTAAACGTTTAAGTGTTGATTAATGTGACTCTGGGCCAGGGCTGGAGGAGGGCGGTCCATAGCTGGGCACTCTGCCAGCCGGTCTGTCAATCTCGAGGAGAGGAAAAGCGAGAGTTCAGGCATTTTCCTGTGCCTTTTCAATTTCGCCGTTGACTTTTTTGTTCGTTTTGCCTGTGGCCCAATTCGGTTTGCGCATCGCCATAAATTCCTTGAGTAGGTACTGCAACAACTCAAACTCAAACGGCAAAGACATTCGCATTTATCATCTTTACGGGTTAACTGCCAAAAATGCTTTGAGGCGCTCCCAAGGGCCGTGGGACCCAGCCACAGCGTAACGGCTCCATGCCCGCCAAATCCGCAAAGTCAAACAATGTTGTATGCTTTACTAGTTTTGCTTTTCCATTTCATCTTTTCCCAATGCTCCACCTAGTAGTAGTAGACTGCTTTTCATCTGTACTTTTCCTTTTCCTTCTTTGTTTTTTTTTATATCTGCGCTGCGTTTATCTTGCTGAAACCCGGTGAGCAGAACATGAAGCATAAACTATAAATGTCAGATAAACAGCCATCACTTTGAGGGATTGCTTTAAGTGGGTGAGCGCATTCCAAAGCCATTAGGTGAGGCCTGAGTGAGGTCACGGAATCTGGGTCAAAGCATAACTCAACTCGAATCAACTCCACTCAACGGATTGCAATATGGAATCCACTTAGTAAAGCACACCATACTGATTTACGATATTTCTATATAAAGAGGAGAAAAGCAGAGAATATTTTTCAGAGGAAACCCTGCCACGAATCTTAGTATTTCAGTATTAAATAAGTCTTGTAATCTTTACACCCAGTTCTTGGGAACTCTCCCTGCCAATCCATTGGAATGGAAAGCCTCGCTTAGCAAAACTTTAACCACAGATGCCTACTCGTATTTCTAGTATCGTATTTCCAGAGTTGTGCTCCACAAATATCTGTACAATACAGTCGTTGCTCTTTAATTTTCGATTCTTTCCTTGTCCGTTGCCTTGGAATATGCCCTGTACAATTTAGTCTCCACTTTGACAAGCTCTTGGCACATCCAATTGTCGACTGGCAATAAAATATTCAAGATACAAGCATATCAAGTTACGATTTGTCTTTCCCTGCACTTTTTCTACCAATTTCGCAAATTTCCATCAACTTGGCTCCTGCTGACAGGCGAATATTTCTTTTGCAGCCAAGAGAGCCAAGAGTGGGACCGAGGAAGCGCGGCTGGGCTGATGGGGGAAAGACAATGGAAAGTTCTCGTGGCTGGCAAAACAAATGACTAGAAGAGATTACAGCAGCATTTCTGCTGATTTTCAAATGAAATTTTAATGAACGCCACACACACAAACACACATGCAAAGGGAAAACCCATGGTGTGTGCCAACAATCAGAGAGAGCGAGAGCGAGAGCGAGAGCGAGAGAGAGAAAGGCAGAGAGAAGAAAAGTGTTTTTTGCCAGTCGTACTCCGTGTGGCATGCGTCAACGAAATTTGAAATCTCCAAACAGCACAGATCTGTCTGTCTGTCTCACCCAAACGACCATAAAGGCATCATCCCGCCCTTCGTCCTGCCAGTCCCTTTTGGCGCTCGTGGCCTCACTGCCCGGATTTCACTTAAATATTTATCAGAGGAAACAATAGGGGAGCAAGAAAACCCTTACCCTCTCCCGACGCCGCGACGTCAGCGAAATGCAAAACTGCAGAACATTTTCATATCGTGTTCATTCACAAAATTAGTTGAAGCATACATCCTTCTGATAACAACATAATGACGATGACTGAGACTGATTAATTGATACCAAAATTTGCAAATGAATTTCAATTGTTCAGTCGTACGACTCGTGGTCGTGGTGATGGAACAGGTACAAAAGAAGGCAATTAAAAGGAGGCGGCGTTTGAGCCAGATTCAGCCATTATGTGGCGCCGTTGATGTCTTTAATTAAATTCGCCTTTAGCCGCAAATCCTTTTATGCCCGCGCCATTTTACTTGGGCTTCCTTTGGCATTTGACTTTCCCTCTCACTCTCTTCTTCTCACTTTGGGTGTGGGTGTGGGTTTGGGCATGGGAACCCAAGGATGCAACCGCAACTGGCCTCAGCAGAAACCCCAACCTCAGACCCAGTCTCAGACTCAGCTCCAGGCCCCGGCGGCATCTTGTGATTTATTATTAAACATGAATATGAATTCCAGGAGATGCTCGTTCTAGGCGGTAGGGTATGGAATTTAAGAGAATGAAGTGAAATGAAATAGAAGGCAGAAAAAATAGCAGGAAAGACCTGTTGGCATTTTTATGCCCACATTTTTATGATTAATTAAAATTTATGCTCGAGCAAATTATGTAGAGCCAGATACGGGTATTCCTATACGGGTATCCCTATTCAGCGAACGACCATCAATCCATCTGGCCTTGGGACCGTCAAGTTGTGTGATTAAGATTAAGATGATTGTCATAAAGAAAAAACCCAATTTGGACAACTAATTAAAGGCACTCGAGGGGCAAACTGCGCGGAAAACTATGCCGAATGCGAAGGTGGCAAAAAAGTAAGCGCATTTCATATTTATTAAAGCAATAAAATAAAGGAGAGCCCGGACAAGGCCCGAACCCTGAGAGTTGTGGCTCAGATAACGTGTCTGGGCCAGAGCCAGAGCCGCAGAGAAATATCACTGTGTCACCCACACACGCACCCACACACGCACCCACACACGCACCCACACACGCACACGCAAACGCACACGCATTCCGAAAAACACGCACACATTCATAAATTCAGGGAGCTTAACCCATTGTTGCTTTGCTCGTGGTTGTGGTTAACGTGCAAATTTGTTGCTTCCTCTTGGCTCTTAGCCTGCCCGCCCTACAATTGGCCATGGCCATTGCCTACGCCTACGCCTACGCCTTTGGGGGTCTGAGGGGGTCCGGGTCCCTCGACAAGGATTTTGGGCGAATAAGCAAGAAGGGCAGGGCAATAAATTTAAAATTAACCCTTTAGGAGCAAAGCTTATGACCTTAACCCACACACAGAGTGGTGGTTGGTAGTGCCGTTGCCCATCCAAGCAAGGCTTCTCAAGTTGGCAATGGATATTCCTCTTCGGCTGGCCAAATTAATCGCATTACCAGGTGGTCTTTGGAAAATCTTTTCCCCTCCCCCGACCATTATCCCTTTTCCTACATACATTTAAATCTCGTGAAATAATCCCTTTTCGTTTGATTAATTAATTGAATGAGTCTTGACGCCAGTGAAAAGGAATAATAGTAATTCCGAGTATATTGGATTGAGAAATAACTGCGATGCAACTGCGCTGCTCCGCCTGCAGCCATGCCCCTTCAGAGTGAGCTGTCAATGCAACACGCCGAACAACAATAAATAAAATGGAAAACATGACTGGGCCCGAGGCTCCACTTGGGCCAAAAAAGAGCGAAAGCCAAACGTAAGAGAAAGAAACGTAAGCGAACAGCGCCAAAAGGCATGCTGTGGACGGCCAGGCTGGCAGGATGGCAGGATGTCAGGGAGGAGAAGCTGGTTCAAGTGGCTCCCGACTCAGTCAAGACAATTCAAGAAATGCTTTTAAAAGGAAATCAGAAAAGGAATTTCGCTTATGGGCAACTGATTGTGCCTTCGAAATGGGCAGAAACTTGAACAGATCCGGGGGCCCAGAGGAAGAGAAGCAGGAGGAGGAACGGCGAACGAGTTTTTTTCTTTGATTATTCCTTTTTTGGCTGCCACACTTAGAAAATTGAATTGTTTTAGATTTTCCTCCATTTTCGTACTCTCTCTTCGCTCTCCTCGTTTATTTCTGGCATCCGACGCGAATAAATCAAATTGGATTTTCTTGTGCACTTCAATCGGAATGGGAAATCGAAAGCCGACAGAAAACTTAATCAAAATCTCTTCAAGAAAAGAAAGTTCTCTAAGTAGGCTGGCAGCAAATCGTCTTTGTCATTCTCATTTGCCTTGAGTGTATCTCAACGACTACAATCTATCCGTAAAAAACACATCGTAATCGTTTAAAAATGTCGTTTCTTCTAAATTTGATGGGCTCGTCCCTGATCCCGGCTGGCTCGACGCCGCAGGCGGGATCGTTGGAAGACGGTGCTCATAGACGCAGCACCAAAGAAATGGTCGGACTGAAAAGCTGCTGCTACTTCTTCGATCTGAAAATGGGCTGCAAGCTTATAGCCTTCTTCGAGGCTCTGCTTGGTCTGATGCAAATATACCAGTGCTACAATCTGATCAATCAACCGGAGGCTGTATCAATTGGGACCACAACTGAGTCCGAGTTTGTCACACGGGCGATCGAGGACGATTCCATGGATCCCCATGCGAGCCATTCGAGCAGTGGGAATCACTATTTTACCATGGCCCTTGAGACGGTAGCTGTCATGAAGTCGATTATGCTCATTATAGGAGCTAAGACTGTGAGTAACCATGACCGATTATGGATCGACTAATAGCTTTCGTGTATTCTCTACAGGAGCACAAAACTTGTCTATTGCTTTGGCTTTACCTTACAGCAGTCGTGACATTCATGTTCGTGCTCAATACTCTTTTCATCAATTTGGTTGTTGAGCATTTGGTCTTTGAGGCGTTGTCAGTATGTGAGTTCATCTTCACCTTGAGACCTTCTCCCTGCTTTTGTTATTGTCTGAACACCAAGTATTTCCAGCTCTAGAGACATATTTTGGATTCGTCGTTCTGTCTTTCTACTGGGAAGTACTACGTAAACGCGACGGCAACCCCTCGGAAATCGAAGTGCTCTTTACGGCCAGCGAGGATACTTAGAGTCCCTCGCCGACAAACAAGAATTGTCCTCACTTTGCAATCCACATACGAGTACATACATATTTTAGTTAGCTTAAAATTCCAAGCACAACATTGACACTATTTAAGCTAATTCTTAAAGTCTCTAAAATGGCTTTATCCAGCGTATGAATATGCGAAATAAATACAGTTCTGGCTAATACATAAAGATTTATTAATAGTCATAGTTTAATGGATAAATATAGTATATCATGCCAGGCCACTACAACCAATTTTTGAGCTAATTTTGTAAAGATGGCTACTAAAACATGCTGATAAGATTACGAGTTTATTGCACTTCCATTGGAGATCTAATACAAGTACGTATATGCGCGGTGAGCAAAGTTTTGGCGTGAAAAATTTGCATAAATCGAGCAAAATAAGTAAATCTCAAAAATTGATTGCACTGGCAAATTGGGCAGGAAGCAAAGGACTGACATGCTCTCTAAGTGCTCTCGTGATTTCTCTACGCGCATACAGAGCATCCCGGCCCATTGCACTCCATTCCATCCTATCGGCATCATATCGGCAAAAATTTAAAACCATATATTGAATATATCGAATTTATTCTTACTTTTGCGTACGCCGTTTTTTTCGGCGGCTCGCGCGACGCGGTTGCCGCTGTTGCCGTGGGCGTGCCGCGCTTGTTAGGGCGATTCTTTTTCAGTACGATAACGCGCATGGTGTATGGTGTGTTAGTATGTGGTATGTAAGTGGTATATATGTGTATTTATTGGGATGGGTACTTAAGTGTGGACTTGGATCTCGATAGTTGTGTTAAATGTTCTATACAATTGCGATTCTCTTGTCTCTTATTCTGTTAAGTGATTGCAGTTCGCGGTGCCGTTCACAAACGGTGTTCCACTCCACACAGCATCGGGGAGTATTGTGTTGGATGGTGTACAAGAGGTGTAGTACGATTACAAGCACAAAGGACACGAAATGGCAAAGGACAAAATGCAAAGCGAGCTGAGCCTCTAGCTCCAGATGGTTTTTTACATAGTTCTTATTGCAGTTGGTGCTACAGATAAGTCAACTACTTTAGTTCTAGGTTAGCAAAGATTATTGGTTATTTACAGTACATAGAATAGAGTTTGCTGTAGAATTGTGGCATAGATAGTATTTTCTGGCACTAAAAAATTTTTACAAGCTTGATTGATTGATTGATTGGTTGATTGATTGGATTGGATTGGTGAAGAGTGAGCTTTCGCCGCGAATTTCGACTACCAGCTAGAGCTAGAATTTGTTTAAGTTTTAAAGCAAGCAATTAATTTTAAGAAACTCTGACAGTGTGCTACATTGATTTGATTTGATTGGATTTAATTTGATTGATTTGAGTCGAATTGAGTGGATTCGATTCGATTCGATTTGTTTTTGAGAGCGAATTCTTTGGGCGCACGGTGCGGATGCGTGATTTGTTAATAAAGCTAGATTATTTAACATAGACTCTCGACTAGTTGTGGCATTACTATTGATCAATTGGTCAATGGATGGTTACTTACGCTGAAATTGATTCAATTAAATTTTTGGGGCTAGCAAAACAGAACTCGCCTCAAGAAATCACGCCTATAGAAGCCTGCCTGACTTTGCGCTCTAAAATGATGGATATATAGATATAGATTGTCTGTTGTTGGGAATTACAAAAATTGTCAATGAGGACAACGCCTTTCTGGTTAACTCTTGTTTCAATTTGTCTGGTTTTTGTGTTTTTTGTTTGCTAACTAAAGCGAAGTCCTGGCATTCTTATCCCGTTGCAATTGGCAGCCAATCAAACCTCAGCGCGACGACCGCAACGATTGCGACTACGACTACGACGGCTATAACGACGACGACTACGGCTACGGCTCCGTACGTGTACCGTTACGGCTACGGCTACGGCTAATTTGTCGAACGGATCACTCGTACGAGCGACGTAGAAAAACTGAGACGGCGACCCGCGTATCGAATGCGTCGGAATGCAAGCACGTGACTGACTCGGAGCGAGTGCTGCACGGTACTTTTATAAACAGCAGCGGGCTCGTCCAGCAACGGTCTGGGGATGCCACGCATGCACCTGCTCTCTCGAGCTCTTTGGAGCCCTTGAACAGCTGTTTTGCACACGGACTGTGAGGTTGAGGTTAGAGTTGTTTGCGCTCGCTTGGGCTTGGACTGGGACTTGGACTTTTCCACCCACCCACCATCAACAACAAAATCAACTGCACATAAACAATGAGGGTTTGCTGAAGAGTTGGAATAACAGGAGGAATATCAGGGAAATCACACACAAAACGCGCTATTCAGAGTTTTTTGTTTGTCGCATCTCCGCACTGACCATACACAAGCTAATCTACCGCAGGACTAAGCGAAGTACAAAGTCAACACAGCCAAAAAAAAATGCCAAAAAGAGAGCCAGAGAGGGCCTTGGTTTGGTCACATGCGCAGCGGGTCTCAGAGTCAGCTGTTTGACCCACATACGAGCGCCAGTTCATCTGTACTTAAAAGCGTGCAAGCGCCAAGGACAAGCGTCGAGCAACAGGTTCATCAAAATGACAGTTGACAGCCTTGCCAGATCATTGAAACCGACTGTTAAACGATAGCTTTTTCCAAAGGAGCTTTCGTAAAGTTGACAAAAGCTTTCCCAGGGAGATTTAAAGCTTGTGTAGCTTTCGTAAACTTACATTTGACATTTGACATTTTACTACTTCAACGTATTAAAAAGACCGAGCCGAAATAAAGGATCAGTATAGTCCCTTACATTCTGATTTTCTCCACTGTATATAGTTTTTTTTGTTCACATCTGCCCCCAGTAGATGGCGCTACTCTCAGCCTACTCACCTGAGCCCGTATGGCCGCCAAATGGATTTGCTTGGCGCGCAAGTCAAACTTCTTCATGGATAAATCCTCCTGCAGCTCGTTGACCTTGTTGTACAGCTGCCCCTCAATGCCACGCGTCTGTGTCCGATTCAGTGCATCGATGGCGTCCTGCCGCGCAAATGATGAGCAACCATTATAAACACACACATTAGCCATCTATCTATCTGCGGGGACGTGAAAATCGTCTTAGTGCTGGGCTCACCTGCAGCTGACGTATCTGCAATTCCAATTCTATGGCCTCACGCTTCAGTGACTCCAGGGCCGAGCGCTGCGACAGTGTGGAGTGGCGGTCAAAGACGAGCTCGTTCCGCAAGTTGGGGGTCATCTCCTGTAACACACACTCTCGCCCATTCAGCCGCATGCCGCAGACAGGTTTCTCGCATTCTACTCACATTATGGTCGCCCATCTCCTCGCCTGGCTCGCCTTGGGGTGGAGCAAAGGGCCGCCGAGGAACCTTCTGGGCCTGCGATGGCTGGGCCAGGAGGCGCACAAAGTTGGCCAGATCCTGTGGCGGCGAGACCGCACTGCACTGGTTGGTCAGGCTGATGTAGCGCTTGGCCTGGTCGCTAGCCTGGGCGCATGGTGGCGGTAACAGAAAAACATGTGATTATGACAAGTATGATAGTGGTAGACCCCAAACAACTACGACTCCCCACACGCAACTTACGCAGGAGCTTTATCCTGTGGATGTGGATGTGGCCTGTGTCCGACGCTGCCCTGCGCAGCTCTAACCATTAAGCAAATTACTGTGGCAAATTGCGACCGAAGGTAATTATTATAATCGTGCACAAATTATGCCCCAGGAAACAAAAGTCGTCACAATATTTAGCCTTAATTCCAGGTGGCAGGCACAATTATCAGCACCATCCCTAGCAACTGCATCACCAGCAGCCACCTGCTGCAGTTATAAATCACTTCACCCCCAGCTGCCCCCTCTGGCAGTCGCACTCACACTCACCTTGCTGGCAATTACATCGGCTCCCTGAAACAGCGAATCGGAAACAATGCCGGACAGGTCATTGTGTATCTCCTCCAGCTCCTGCATCAGGTGTGGCAGAGTGTCGCAGTGGTAGGCCTCAAGCATTCCATTCGTGGCATGCAGCTGCTGCACGTACGCATTGTGTGCGTCGATGTATTCGGTGAGCGAGTGCTGGCTGGGGTTCTGTCGATGGGCCATGTGGCACTGCTTGTAGTCCATCCGGCACTAAAAAGGGAAAATCAAAGTGGGCTGGGACACACCTCAAACAAGAATTTATGGCTAAACGGAATGCAGACAAAACGCAATACGAGGTCTTTGAAAAGGCCCAAATCTGGCTGGCAATGATTTTTCCCAGGACTAGGCGCACACAACGCCAATCTCCTAATTAGCAAAATAACCCATTCACTCACCTTTGACAGCTTCTCTTCAGTCTTTGCGATAATAGTCTCAAAAGACTCCCTGTGTGTAAATATTTTACGGCTTTGAACTTTGCGATGAAAGGACTTGTCCAACATTGGTCGCGACACCTGCAGGTTTGGTAAGAAAATTAAGAACGTAAATTTGAACCGTACTTTCGCTTTTTATGTATGTATGTTTTTCCGCGCCCAAAGGCAAACCATCGCGGATAATTAATATGAAATGCAGAAGCCAAACAGCATAAAAACATCCCACGAACGCGAAAACAAAGCAAATAATGAGAAAAATTAACATTATTCGGCACTCCAATTACACATGTCTTTTCCCAAGGTCCCTCGGCGGGTACGCCCCCTAATTAGGCATAATTAGAGTCTGCTTTTAATGATGACCTTTGTCTGCTTAATGGTTGGCTCAACGGATCGATGCAGCATTCATATATGAATTTAATTATCATAATATTCCATATACCGAATAAACAAATTAGCATTTAGATGTGATTTATAATAAATTTACATATGTAAATACATTTTTTTATCTCTTTACTGAATGAACAACTAAAAGCGTTTCCTGGATCTCTCAGTGACGAATTTCAATCAATATTTCAATCAATAAACGGCATTATTCCCAAAAATAAATAGGCTTGAATGCATTTCTGGTGGAGCGGCTCTGGTCTATTTTCGACCAAGGTAACTGAATATGTCACAAAGACACGATTTTGCCATTAACTCTGGAGGCTTTCCATCCAAACAAGCACTTACCTGTCGGGAGAGGACACTGGCCACATCGTTGCAGGCCTGCGAATCGGTCTCGGCCTCCTGCAGGAATGATTCCCATGCCTGAAATATGGCCAAGTGGCAGGCGGGTCTGCACCCCACTCCTCGGTTGCCATCAAAATAATTGGACAATTTTTGAGCCAAACTTACCTTTCTTTGCGCAGCTCAACATTCTTTTTGCGATAATTGGACACTAAAGTTTGTAGGGCAGTTGCGTGTTCCTCATACAGTTGGGAAAGCGTTTCGGTGAAATCGGATACTGCAATGAAAAAAAATAATATAGTTTTATTCAATTTCAGGCATTCCTCAGCACTAGGTTAAATTTTCTGAAAGCCGTGCCGGGAAGCATTCCAAACATTTTAGCTGAAATCGACATGCTTTATGGCCCGGAAACAAAAAAAAAATGCATTAGAGATGAAAAGCAGTAAAGAGGGGGCTCGGAAGGAAAGGGGGTCTTCCTCCTGAACGACGGTTCAAAACGTTTGCCCTGAGATGTGAGAACTGCTTCACCTCGCATTTCCAGCTAAGCACTTCCTGTGGTGGTGGTGGAGTCTGCCAGGGAAAGCTTATAAGGTGGGAAAATGCCAGAGCAAGACTCTCCATAAAAGTTGGATAATCCATCATATTTACGATTGCTCCTGTATAAATATGTCGTTCCACTCAGACTTGCCTTTTAACTCCTCAACTTGTCAGTTTATTGGCCAAGCGTTTTTGTTGACTTTCGATACATGATTCGTCCCTTGGCCAACAGGCTGTCGGGGAAATTTGGAATTTCTGATCAAAAATGAGAATCTTAACTACGCTTTAATCAATATTTTCTTTTCTACCCGAATGCTTGACTTGGCACTCATAATGGATCCTAAACTCTATTACAAACTTGTAATAACCATCCCCAAACATTGTTGAGCAATGCTAGCGGCGGGAGAGGGGGTACCCCCTAGGGAAAACTTTCTGTGACAACACCGTTATTCAAAGTCAAAGTAATGCCAAAAAGTTGCATCTGTGCCGGAGATAGTCCAACGGGTCACATGGTTCGAGTAGGTGTGTGTTCTTGTGTGCAAACAAGATCCAAGATAGGAGCTTGAATTTACGAGGCTTTAGTTGTAGCCTGTAGTTGTGGGGACACACGTGCGAGTGCTTGCAGGAGCCGCACAGATTTATGTCTCCATCAGGTGGCATCAGAAGGCAAGACAAACGCAAAGACAAAGACAATTGGCAATGGGAATCAATAAGCCATAAAAGCTACAACAGCCGACGGAAAACTTATCAAATTAAATGCTCCCACATAAATTGTTTTATATTCTTGTCGAAAAATTGCCTCGCATGCTCTTTCAGCTGAAACCTATCCCCGGTTACGTTCCCGCCGTTCCCTCCCTTGGCCCAAGGGCACTACACGCTTGATTCTGGCCCCACCTGCTGTGCGTGTCAGGCTGCGGCATGGCGTGTCGTCTCCTGTGGCATGAATGTCACTGGCAACGCGAATTGGATATGACTTGACTAGGGGAAACACAAACTTGTACGACTATGTCGTACCCACACAATAGATTGGCTTTACTCACCTGTTTTAATTAACTTAAAGTTGACACTATTCTGGGACTTGAAAGCCTCGTTCAAGCTGCTGTGGCTGTAGTCCTTGAGCACGCCGCCGTAAGACGCCATGCTGCCGCCGGCCCGGGGGCTAAGGGAACCACCTCGTGGCCCCCTCCACCCGAAGAACTTACGATTTCTTCGACCACTTGAAGATTTTACCGAAGAATCTGCGAGCACGTTGAACGTTGGACAAAAAAAAATAACGATTTTCATTAGTTTCGATTCGACAATAGTTGGCATATTTTCAATAGAACCAAAAATTAATTAACTCAAAAACCAGGCAGTCAATTCAAAATATAATTGTGTGAACGAACAGAATACAAGAAAATTCAAACAAAACAAACCAAATTGAATGCAAACAAATGGGGGGGGATTTTCCAACGAAATGTGATTTGTTTTCTTGCGGAATAACCGGAATCAAGTGTCCGTCAATGAAGCAATGTCGGGAATTATTTGGGCTATGCTGCGAATCAAACAGATCGCTGCCTCTTGTATTTATGCATAAATAATGAACGCAAGCGGCACTTTTCATCCGTCCTCCAAGGCGGAGCCCTTCGCTGCGAGTATTTTCCTTTTCCTTTTTGTTCTATTTTTGATTTTGTTGTTTTTGTTTTTCGGGGCCGAGAGCGGAAATTCCGAGGGCCATTACTAGAGTCAATACGCGGCGAAATAGGTTTGTTCGGCTGTTCCAAAGTCAAAGTCTTGGTCAGGGCAGGGGGGTCGGGTCGGGTGGGGGGCGAAGGGAGTCGGTTCATTTAAAATGCAATCAATAAATGAAGCGTAATTTCATTGCCGCGCTGTCAGAGCCGGGATTTTGTTTCGGCCATATATATACTCGTACTTCTACCCTACCCTGTAGGAGGCTAAAAAGACCCGGGGGTCCATCCATCGCCAGTCTGTCCAAGTGTCTAAAGTGTTTGCTGTCTATTTGTTTGACTCCTGCTCTTCTCTGGCCCCCACTCGCACAGCCAGCTCAATTGCAGTTCACATAAAATATTCACGGGCCGAGATGTAGCTGGAATGGAGCGGAAGACAAAGAAGTGCTCATATCGCACCCACGTACGGGTGTGTACATCTATTAAAGGACAGCACAGCTGCAGTGCACAAAATGGGGCCGCCTGCTAGATGGCTGCTTGGCTGTCGTATCCTTTTATCCTTGTCAAATTTGAAACGAAATAAACAAGGCGTGTCTGAGATTGCCAGAAGTTGGCCACAGCAACAATCACGTAGCCCTGTTGCTGTTGCTGTTGATTTACTTTGCCGTTGGTCATCAAATTTTCCGTGCTGTGAACTTTTAAATTAATTCAAGTGGGTGGCTGGTGGCTGGTTGATGGGGTCCTCCATGGAGGATGGTGGCGCACGCTCACGTGCCAGCTGCAAGGATGTGCACAGCCGTTGCTGTTGCCGTTGCCGTCACTATCGCTGTTGTTGATTACACTTCACGCGCTGCTAAGCTGACATTCATTCCGGGACGACAGTCACAGCAGGATGTGCTGCTGCTGCTGTCGCTACTGCTACTCCTTCTGCTCCTTTTTCTTCTGTAGGAAGAAATTATGTGCGTGCTCGCATTTAGCGAATGCGCCAGAGGCACGCAATTCACTTTCATTCCCAGTTGCACTTCCAGCTCCATAAGAAAGAATGTAACCCACTTCTGCATGCGAAGCTTAGGAGACGGATCAAGGGTGGTAGGCGGAGAGCAAGCACCTTAAACGCCTTTAGTTCTCCTCCTCCTCCATCTGTGCGTTTAGTACGGAAAAGTTAGCCAAGCAAGGACATAACACAACTGAAAAGCAAACTCTGGCCAGGCCAAAGCAGGCAAATCCTTGGATGAACTGGAAATTCGATAGGGCGGGGGTCTTTAACGTGGCTTTTTGGCTCCCTATAGCAGTGGCTTTTAAAGGCAATCGGATCGTATTGCTAGGGGGCTACGGCTTTGGATGAAAAATGTACCCCTTGGAAGAAGATTAGAGTACAATCGGACAATAGTTTAAGTGATTTATTGATTCTTCGTTCGTTTCGTCAGATCATTCCAAGGATACGCCAGGCAAAGGCAAGAACTTCAATTCAAACTCAAAACGGAACTCAAACTGCAGCTGAAGAAACTTGCAGCACATTTAATGGTGGCTTTTAATGTTGTGGTACGAGTATGTTATGTGGCATGGCGGTCGAGAATGCTCTACGAGACGCGCGAGGCGCAGCAATCAACTGTAAACGATTCGATTAGCGGGTGCAAGAGTAGACTTGGAAGGCACCTGTCACCTTTGGAGTGCGCTCCGGCCGAACCACCGCCGCCGCCACCGCCTGCAGAGTTGGATCCCCTTTCCACAGCACCCGCACCAGCACCCGCTCCCCCTGCTGTTGCCCCATCGTACTGATCCGCACTGCGAGTACGAGCGTTGGCCATGCGATCGCGATCCTCACGCGGGGAACGGGCAAAGAGGCCACCGCCGCCCCCCGACTTTCCAGCGGGACTCCTCGTCCGGGGCGAGTCGTAGACACCCGCGCGGCCCTCCAGTGGCGGCGAGTAGCCACGGCCCCCCTCCGCTGGTGCCGAGCTGGGGGTGCGCGGCTGGAGCTTAATGACGGGCTCGCGGGCCTCAAAGAATGCATCGAAGTTGTTCTGGCGCAGGTTCTCGCTGCTGAACACCGGGTTCTCCACATGCACGTGAACGTCCTCACGTAATCGGTTGCTCTCCCGCGTGTCCGAGGACGTGGAGCGGCCCAGCCGCCCCAGAGGCAGGTGGAGCTTGGGTCGCAGCCGGGACTTGCTCGTTGGAGACCTACCAGCACTGACCCCGGGTCCCACGCAGCTGCTTGGCGACTTCTCGGGCGGCAGATCCATGGGCGACATGGGCCGGCCCCAGCCGGGTCCGAAGTGGGCATGTGTGGGATCTGGCGAGGGTGTGGGTGGTTCCAAGAAGATGCTGGGACTCCGCGACCGACTGACCAACTGACCAGCGCCATAGTCTAGGCCACCGCCAAGGGCTCCCGCCTCGTCGTCATAAGCTGCGCTGCTGCGCTGGAATGGTGCTCGTCCTGGTCCAGTGGCGCTGTTCCCCTGCATCTGGCTGGCATCATTATACATGGACGCAGGCGGCAGGCGTCCGCTCCTCACGCTGGCCCGCTTGGCGGAGCTGTGGCTGTGGTTCGAGTGGGTCAGCGAGGAGCGCGATGCTCGACGTGTGGGCGTGGGCGGCAGGCTCTGGGACTGAGGAGGACTCTGGACCAGGGCAGATTGCTCCTCAAAGCTGAAAAAGCTGGTGTGACCAGGTGCGACCGGTGCTAGTGCTGGTGCTGGCGCCGGTAACAGTGGCTGCGGATATTGGTTGATGCCTATGGATGGACTGGCAGGCGGATCTTCGAACGGAAACGGAGTGGGTGTGAAGGCGGTGGCTCTGCTGCTGGTTGTGGCAGCGGTTGAGTTTTTGGTTTTGGTTGAGGTTGCGGCTGCGGCTGTGGTCGTAGTGGCGCCTCTCTCTGGGTACTCGATGGGGACGAGCGGCTCTCGGAGGCAGTCGAGTGAGGGTCGCGGTTTCACACGTGGCGCAAAGAAACCATATGTCATCAAGATGAGCTCATCGGCGGGATATATTACGTACATTCCTTACGGCCCCCATGTGACATGGTGACACTGCGCTAAGTATATCTCAGCTAGTTCTCGGATCGTATTGGGATCGGTACAGAAAACATTACACGTACTGTATACTCGGAGCTCAAAGGTTCGGAATAGTTCGTCCCGGATTTAGTTGGGTTTTGGTTACGTTACGGGCTGTCCTGTCTTTTGTGGGGGTTTCTTCAGTTATTCTGTCTTTACGTGGGTTTTCTCAGTAAGGAGAGTCACCAAAAAAATCATATATAGAATATTATCTAACTAGGGGCTAGGTAAACGTACTTTCCACAGCGTGGGGCTATCACAAAGAGAGTTCAAATTAGTTTTATTTCACGGGTCGCGCTGTCATTTGGATCGCTGCATGCTTCCGATGCTTGAGGACTGGATTCTGCAACGGGAGAACGAAAAACGAAGTCAAGAAAAAACAAATTTCATTAGATTAATTGCTCGACTTTTAATTTTCAAACAACACAAGAAAAGTTTTGCCACAAAAACCGCTACAAAGCATCATTAAAAACATTTCCTTCTGTGGGTCATTCGCTCATGCGAGTATTTTTGCTCATTAAATTGTTTCGTTCCATGGAGTATCTTCTTGGACTTCCATCTGCCCCAGGACTAGGGTCAAACTTCTAGCTGGCTACACAACAAAGTTTGGCTTTTCCTCGTTTTCTCTTCTGTTAATTTTGCATGCCGCACGCCGTCAATGACCAGGTGGATTTCGGACAAAGTCAACCTGCTCCTAGCGATTCACGTAGTTCCTGTTCCACTCCTAGACCTATTCCCATTCCTGGTCCGCCTATAATTGATCATTTAATGGCAGCGAGTCCGAACACAAATCAACTAGAATTGCCAATGACAGCTGGAGCTCAAAGTTTACCCAACAGCGTGCCCCCCTTTTGGGCCAAGTGCGTGTGGAAGCCTCTTGTGTGGGTGGCAAGGTGGTCTGATAAAACAGGCGGCTTGCCACATGCACGGCTTACTGTTGTGCCATTTTACTGGCCCATTGATGAGCCATATCAATTAAATTTCCATTAAATATTTACGATAACCGACGACTGCACGCCGCCGCCTTAATTATCGTATCAGAATTAATACAATATGATGAGAAATTATTAACCCCCCGAGCCCCCTTTCCATAACTGTGTTTGGGGAATTAAATTTATGGTGATGGGAGCTCAGTTTAATGGATTGGTTCGAACTCTTTTAAGCAGCTTATTCGTTCAGCTCATCTCGAACTCAGAGAAACAGCTGTTGAGAGTTCTATAAAGACTATACAGAATGAGTTCTCTCCTTCTATTTTGAGTCTGAGCAATAGATTTAATTAGATTTGAATGAATATTCTTAGCCTTGAAGATATATTTCACAAATTTAATTTAAAAAGAAAGGATAATCTTCCGTAACCATATTTCGTAATTGTATCTTTCGCGTCTCCTGATTAAACACGTTTACACAGAACCCGTTTACCCGCAATCTCAACACGTATTCTTTCTAGTTCTCCATGTCCTGCACTACCTGGAACTATTATAAAAATATTGGTGAAAATGTAAAGCTGGAAACCAATCAAAAAAGTATTTTAGTGGAATTTCCCTTAAACCACTTGTGCCTTAGGTTTCTAATTTCAGTTAAGCGTGTGTGTGTTTTCCTGTTGCATTTGAGATGTGAAATTTGCATAATTGAATTATAATTGATATTGGCCCGATCTAATTCGCCCTCAGGGAACACAGCCGACTAGGGGCGGATGCCATGGCCGGCATTAAAATCGCATTACGCGAACGGCGGCACGGGGAAATCGGTCGAGATTAAATTCATATATTGTCAGAAGCCAGAGCAGAGCGGCCTTGCGTGTTCGGATGCGAGAAAATGTGAGGAAAAACCCAAAAGAAAACTAGCCAGAGGAAGAACGGAAGGGGGCATGGCGCGAATGAGAGCCACGGAGAAAACTGAGCCCAGCACAGAAATTGCATTGCATAAATAGGTGGCTACATTTTGTGTTTGTGGCAAGGCGATTCGAGTCGAGAAGAAATCACGCAATTTAATTCAATGTGAATTATTTATTAGCTGCCACAGAGAGACAGGGCAGCCAAGAGAGTGGTGGTGAGGTGGAGAGGTGGAGAGCGCGGCAAGCGAGCCGTGTGGCACATGAATAATTCCCCATTTTTAATTCCGAGGCAACCTGGTTCTGAAGGTTGAAAAGCGAAGACGAGGCAAGGTGGGATGAGATGGGATGGTAGCACTATCTGACGCTGTACGCAAATATTTCCTTTCCATTCGACTCGCCCCAGGCCTATCCTCCTCGCACACCCACACGCACACACTTTCCATACACACGCAGATAATTGAATTGTTTTGCTGCACTTTACCAGCTCGTTAAATCTGTCAACATTGATCAATCAAACCAGGCCAGAAAGGGGGCTGGGGCTGGGGCCGGGGCCGGGACCGTGCGCGGAGGGGAGAAGGAAAACCGAAAGTTTTTCCATCCGATAGCGTGAATTGGGGGACGAAGTTAAAGTTGCAAAAGCAATAAAGCAGCAGAGGATGTATGGGTGAGATTTTACGGGCATGCGGATGACATTTTAAAAGGCATTCCTCCTCAGCAACAAAAGAAAAGAAAAAAAGGAAAAAAAAAAGTGCAAAGAGTGCCCCCAACTGCACTGCCACTGACACAGACACTAAACGCCAGACATCAGACAGGATTTTCCATATCAGATTACTATATAATATTCCATGACGTTATCTCTCGGTTTTCTCGTCTCTTTAAAATTCTGAATGCCACAGAAGGTCGCCATTGTGGGGTACAGTCGGGGCGAAATGTATGATATCAGAGGAATATACATGCATATTCACGAACCTTATATACCCCTATACTCTTTGAGTACCAGGTATAACAATAGACAGGCGACGCTGTGCCCCGCTTATCATTCACGGGGCGTGCCCCCAAGAAGGCCAAGGTGTATTCTGCAGAAGTGGCATGAGGAAACAGGCAGCAAACAAAATTTTATAAATAAATAAGAGACCCATCCTCTACCCTCCCGTGCATTTTGGCAAGCAGCAGCCCAGGAGAGATACATAGATAGAGAGCGCGAGGACGGATCGGAGCAGATCCGAGTAGAGGAAGCAAACTTGACTCAAGTGCATTGTCAAGGCGTCCCAGCGACGCTGTGCCAGGGGATGCTCTCGGACATAAACATAGACACAGACATAATTGCATCTCAGTGAGCCCAGAAGAACCCAACGACTACTACGACGACGACTACGATGACGATGACGATGATGATGATGATGATGCTGCCCCAGCGGCACCCAAATGCAAAAGTTCCTGGCATTACACATATTTACAGATATAGAAATGTACAGACATACGAGTATAACGAATTCATGGCATGGCTGTATGTCGAGCTATTCTGTGCATGCCATGGGACTGCAAATTAACCAAATTCTTGGCGACTTGTAAAAGAAAACAAATCCTCAACTCTGAGGAAGAGCAAAGAGAGAGAGTAAGACCCCGGCGGCAAGACCTAGTTCGAGCTGCAAGGTCAAGTTGCAATCTACTTCGAATGAAAGCAGCTAAAAGTAATTTATTTTCTGGATACACTCGGAGTAATGGGCTCCATCAATTTCAACCAGCAATTATGCCCTCCTGCCAGGGGCCATCAGTGTAACAAGCCGAACAAAGCAGACGTCATATAATAACCAGATAACCAGATATAGGTAGAGGTAGCATATCCATGAGATACACATTTAACAGGATGAACTGGTTAGGGGAAACGAAACTGCCGAAAAAAGTAAGCCCAATATATGGGGAGAATCATCGGAGAGGCTGGGAAAATACGCACCAGAAACAGCACCAGCCAGAAATGCCTCTGCGCAATGTGGCGCCCCATGAATACAGCATGAAGCTGCTGCTGCATAATAAATTTTCCTTTAACACTTTTTGGCAGAAAACTTGCTCCACCGTAGCAATACTTGCAATATTTCTGAAATGGAAATTTCAGAAATACGTATTCCTAGATGTCCCCGATTACGTTGGTCGCTATACAGAGAGAAAGGGCCCTGGAGGCATGTATTGTGTATAGCCAAATCTTAGAGGCGTCTCGAACATTTACACTCACCGTTATCGCTATGGCTAAGACATCACAATGGAAGGGGTTTGTTGTCCTTTGGTCGGCATTTCTGGGTTCTGTTCTGTTTAAGAATTTAATTGAAGCACAAGTAAGGTAGCTTTTTGTTTGTTTGCTCAAAGCTTACGCTCTACGCACAATTCTCTGCAGGCTTTTGGTTTGATTCAATTGGTGATTTATTTTTCAGCTGGGGCTTAGTGTCGTTGCTCGAGAATGCTCGTTTGAGTCGTTTCAGCTGCTGCTACTTTCAATCCCGCTTTCGGTTCGACTTCCACTTCCGTTTCCTCTG